AAGGAATAACAAGTGTAATATCCACTAAAGCAAAGCTTAAGTATATAACACCAGCATTATCTTGTCTATTTCTTTTGCTTTTCCTTTTGATGTGATTCTCTGGAGGTCTTAACAGGTCTAGAGTGTTTTTTATGTTTTTTATGTTTTTGTTGTCTTTCTGGGGTAGCAGTGTGTATGTTTTATTTGATGTCTGGTGGTAGTTTGGCTAGGGTGCAAGGATGCTACCCTCTCAGTATTGTAAGGCATTGGGGTATTTTCCCTTGTACATGCCCTTTTTGGGCCATTTTTATGCGAGGTCGTTATATCGTTGGAAAAAAAAAATCTTTGACATAATATAATTTTAGATTGCGCAATTGTCTAAACTACTAATTAACTTCTTCTTTTTATTATTATTTTCTGTATGCACGATTGACCTTGGTGACATCCTACCAAAGAAAGATTCTACTGAGTGCATTATGCCAAACATGTAATAATTATCATAAACTCCTCAATATTTTTTGTTAATATATATATTACTCAAATTTAGTAAAATTTTGCTTAATGGTCTCAATGTCCTTTTAATCTAATATATATAATATGTTAATTTTTGTTTGCATGTGAATATTTGTTATGACACCGAGAATGTTGGATAAACAACATATAACATTCAGAAGACTTCAAAGTTGAAACACATATAAAGAACAATGGCTATACAAACAAAGGTGTAACGGTTTTGTTTGTGCTTATTATAACATTATAATATTTCAGTTATATATGTGTAACATGTTTTAAATGTTGTATTGCAGGAAAGATCTGAATATAAGCAGAAACATAATACATTCATGCTCGTTGGTTGACTGTAATACTAAGCTGTGCAAGGTACTGTGATTGTTATCATGACGAAAAGATATGAACTTGAGTTTTATGACGTGAATTTCAAAAATCAGTTAATAATTATGTGTGCTTGCTTGTACAAAATGCATGTACTGGAAAATCAGGAGAATGAATAAACATACATGCACAAAGAGACAGAACAAACAACTCATGCCAAATAAATGTGCATTAAGGTATGTTTCTATATATTTATACAAAATATCAACTAAGTAGACCATTCATTACATAAAAATATAACCTTGGCATATGTTAGACACATCGGTTGTTCTGCTTGTTTTGTTGACTACTTGATCTGTTGCAAGCATATTTATATCAAATCTGAATAAAACAAAACATCTGTTAAAATTTATAAGAATCATTATACATGTTATATAAAACTTCAATAATATGCATATACACTTTTAACGGAAAAAAAAAAGCTCTCTCCCTGCGTCTCTCTCTCTGCGTGTGTCGGTGCTAACCTAGGAAGCTCGATCCTCTGATTTCGGTCCTCTCTCTGCCAGGTCTACAGGTCGCTGGAGTTCGTTGTCATCGCCTCCCCGTGAATCGGCCTCGCCCTGCTCCCTTGAACCGCCGATGTCGATTTCCCCCAATTGTTGCAGATCCTCTTCTGTGGCCTTCAGGGGTTTGTCGGTGTTGGGTCAGGGGTGCGGGCGGCGGCCGGTGAACAGGGTGGTCTCGGTCTTTTTAGTCGGCTGGCTGGGCTCG